TCCGGAATTACGATGGCACACCGTTTTTCCAGTGCATACGCCTTTCATTATTAGCTATTTCATCTCCTAGTACGTACGTACATTATTAATAATACGTACTACAGAATACGTAACAAACTGCATGATTCCTTAATTGGAATCATGATTAACTTCTAAATTTATAAACAATACAAATATTAATTTATAAATCGAATACTTAGGCCCTTTTGAACATTAATTTTGAAATCCAAATACTATTAAATCTTTTTCTGGAGCATTCGCAACGCGTGGAGAAATTAATCATTTTTTCAAGGTCTCCACTATATATACAAGCAGCCTTTTCCACTCTACAGCAATAATCGATGGCTAGAAACAGATATTGCTGACGTAACAAATCCATTATACTCTTTAGCAAAAACTTCTCGACTCTTAAAATTCATAATTACACAGCATGATAGAGAATCAAAAGTAGATCAGATTCCCTGTAAAGAATTTTACATGTTATTCGCACGTCTACAAAATATTATTAAAGATAAATCAGTCGATAATCATTTCAATTATTCGTCATCTAATACACGTCACTCTGGTTATACCGACATCTATATAACGACATCATAGTAAAATCTTTCTATACCGACATTTTTTTTTCAATAATTTAATATATAACTCACTTTTGAATTTTTTTACTAATGTCTCAAAAATGTCGATATAACCAGAGTGACGTGTAGTAATAAATCTGCAACCTCAAATAATACCTGAAGGTTTAGTTGAAAATATGATTTTAATACTTTATCACACACCAAAAGATTCACCAACTACGCCACCAAAGAAATGTACTCAGGACATTTACCATCTTTACAAAGATTGGCCAGGTTTAGACGAGATCAATAAAGATGACCCTATACTTTCATATGATCCCTTTGAACCAATGCAAGTTCAAGCTGTTTATAAAGACATGAAAGATGTAGTTGATAATTTGGTACAATCAATCCATGGAAATAATGAAGAAACAAAGCATCTGGAAACAAAATTAGTATATTATTTAGAAAGATGTGATAAAATTTTGAATCCGGATGATCATAAAACCATCATTAAAAAAAAGTGTGTGTGGAGATGGTGACGATGACAAAGATCAAAGTGTATCGGGTTCAAATGGTATGTATTTTAAAACACATCATGTTTGAAGAACGTAAAGTAGTCGATTAAATAATAAAACTTAAAAATCATTTTATTCAAAAAACAGGCATGATGATCTTTAAACAATAAACCATATATTCCCCATTAGCGTTAGTACAAAATTACTTTAGCAATCGACCTATATTTAGATCCTAATACATATATGTTATGGTTTTTTTTATTTTTAGTAGAAAGGACGGCACAACTTGGTCATTCTCGTCGTCGTTGTGTGGTGGTCGAAAATAAAACAGAATAAAAATTATAAGAATTCTTTGGTCGTCAAATATTTTATGATTTTTGAAAATTTATTACTTTTCCGAAATAAACCAATAAGCATTTAAGTAGAACATAGATGTGATTGGTATTTATTGTGAGAATCGCTTTCTAAATTAGATCATATAGTCAACCTTTCATGAATGCACCTCCTTGGAAATATAGATGAGATTTAAATTGTGCATTGAAAGAGGGTATTTGTCAAGAGTGTATCATATCGGCGGGTTTGCGGAATGGATTTAAATTAAGGTCCCTGGATTTAACAATTGCAGAATGCATGATAGCTGAAACTTTGGGGTCGGTTTTACAATCGCATTGTTAAATATATGGACCTTAATATAGAACGCTTTCAAGCAAAAAATTCGGACCTTCTCCTGAGCAGATATCCATTGTCTATGGATTGCTCATGAGTGTTTTATGGCTCATCTCATGCTGCGCAGAAAACAATTAGAACAATTATAATATGCAGGGAATCAATACATATTGATGATACCAGGTAATTTCTCGCTCTAACCTTTTTTTCAATCTTCTAAGCAAAATTTTGTTAAATAGTGAAAGAATAATCTTTTTTCTAATATTTTTTCTACGCCTAAAAAACTATAAAAAAAAAAAAAAAAGGATTAGCGCGAGAAATTGCCTGGCATCATCAATATGCATTGATACCCTGCATATTATAATTGTTCTAATTATTTTCTGCGCAGCATGAGATGAGCCATGAAACACTCATGAGCAATCCATGAGACGCACTACCAACAATGGTTAGACAATGGATATCTGCTCAGGAGAAGATCCGAATTTTTTGCTTGAAAGCGCTCATAGGTCAATTCCGCAAATTCGCCGATATGTTTATAGAGGATGCATTTATGGAAGATTGACTGTAATGCATAACATAATGCGTTCTTTGTAAATATTGTTTTTCACAAAGCCATTTTAGAACAATTCTACATTATTATACTGTATTTTTGGCATACTATATTTTTTACTTATTCTTGTTTTCTATGCTGATAGAATATAATTCGAATTCGTCTGCGGGGATGTTGTTGTCATTCTTAATTAGCCGGTCTTGTCTAGAGACTCCAGATTATTCGATTTGAAAAGCATTTTTGTGTGAGGTGATAATTCAAATTGTGCGATATTTATGCGAGGAACCATATACATATTTTGTATTGTTATAATTTTGATCTATATGTCATTGTATAATGTGATGATTATGGATTTAAGGTGATTTAACAATTATATACATATGCTTTTAATATTCGGTTAAAAATGCCCGCACAAATGTCGCATAGATCTCGTAAAAACAATAACAATAATTCACATTTTATGCACCTATTATGTGATCGCACCGTGGTCTTTAGGTCTTGTCATCCTTTAAATTGTAATAAAATATCAATCCAGAATTTCAATTGCTTGGTATTCAAAACCTATACGAAACAGAAAAAAAAAGGCATCCAAAAATAGTACAAAACAAAAAAAGGATGCGTACAGTAATATTTACAGTAAAAAAACAAAAATAAAAATAGAAACAATGAAATCTCTAGATCAAAATGTTAAATGCAAATCGTTTACGTTCTCAAACCATCACGTGAAACTGCCACATAAACTTCTATCACAAATGAAAAGTGTACAAGTGCACTTTCTTACTCTAATAACACTCCATGTAAATACCTGCAGCGATTCTATTAGTCAATGAGCTGCTCCTTAAAATCCTAAACCTCTATCACAATGATAAGTGTATATGTGTACTTTTTTTTAAAAAAAAAATCCTTCTGTAGAGGGACGCTAGGAGGCATAATTTGTATATATGTACATAATTCTTGTACATAAAGGGGGGGGTTTAGATAGTGCTGCATAGTCCGATTTCTATAGTGATTTACCGGCCATTTACTGCGTTGGTGCTTATTGTTTGAAGTATCTTTTTTGATATATCACTATTGAATAATAATATATTATTGGATGGCTGGCAAATTACTATGGTATTTTCAACCCTGGTTCGAAGACTCGATTCTAAAATCATGAAACCGAACCAGACCCTAACGAATCAGTTAGTTCAGGGTTGATGTTTCGGATTGAGTTTGCGGAACACTAATTTTGGTCAGGATATTTTAAACATCTGTATATTATGGCTTAATTTACAGTACTTCTATGAAAGTAAAAACCGATATTTTTTTTATAAGTCCAAATTTTTTTTCAGACTTCTCGCCAAAGGCGTGACTATGGTGATTTGGTCATATAATTAAAGGGAATTATCATAAGTTAGTGTCTTATGTATCCATACCTCGCACATAAGTGTCGTTCTTTAAATAATTTACTATCCACGGCTGACTCACTTCTGTTGTTCTCAGTGATTCATTTTCAACAACAATTCTCGGCCGACAGCCATTCAAGCATTCAAGAGTTTGCTTTCTGAGGCGTGGTTTGTTATGATTTTCGGAATGACACTTTAGCCCGCGACAATATTCAAACGCATCACAAAAAGATATCTATAATATGAATAAGCAGTTTTATTCACAAATTATCATCAAACACCACATCTAAACAACAAAGAAATGGAGAAAGTTCCTTATGAAGTATTCAATCGTTCTATTACTAACGCAATTTTGGCTCTGACGACCACTAAATCATAATTATGCTTTCAAAAAAGTAATCATTTTATGCTACATTATTTTTATGTAGAGACTATAACTGATAAACGACGCCAGAGCGTAGGATCGATTTCAAACCTAAATTAGTCAAAAGTTAAGTGTAACATGAGAAAATTCAAAATAAAATATAGTCTTCTAAACGTAAACAAATTTTTATACTAAATTTCTTTTAATCTTTCTCAATCAGTAATTATACTTCGATTGCAAGTACTTCTTTCATAAAAATCGGTATGAGTTTTCAATTTCATAACATCCTGACCGTGATCCACTTCATTTTTACCTTCGTTTATAACTGTCAAAATTTGCAAAATACTATTTTTTTTAATTTGAAATTCAAAAGAATTGTATTAACAGCATCCCTTTAATGACAGATTATAACTTAGTGGATAGAACATGGTATGATAAAATTTTATATGATTTTTTTGGCAAATACTTTTGAAACTCAGGTAATTTTATCTATTCTACAATATAATATTCTTGATTTTTTTTTTTTTTATTTGCTCTTCTAACAACTAATTTGTTTAGCGAACGAAATAGATCTTTATCACCACCGCCACGACATTCACAAGAAAGAGGAAAAAGGTCAAGGTCACAATCCCGAGTGCCTATTTAGCTTCATTAAAAAGATCAAGAGAATACTCTGTGAAATAAATAAAATCAATATCTGTGATCTTATCGTTGATCATATTCACCTCAAAAATAGGACGAGTTGATATCATATTTCGAACAGGTGCCAAAATTCGAAAGCAAAGCTTCTGAGTTGCCATATGTGAGACCACCTAAAGTGGTTGTCGCTGGAGCTGATTGTGAGAGTAGCTAATCTATATTCACAAAAACAATGCTGTTTTTGTGAGGTCTCTCGCTCCCGGCCCTTTTCGATAAAGGAAATTCTTTTTCCTGTAAGTACATTTCTATAGATCCTGGTGTCTGCATTTTTCTCATTTGTTATTCACTTTAGAATGAACCAACACCTATCAACTAGATCAATATCCGTTTCAATTGAACCGACACCTAATTCGATTGAATTAAACACACAAACCGCATTTTTTTACCGAAACAACAATATTAAATGACATGTGTGTGCTCATTTAATTGGATTTATCACCGAATCACATTGATATTTTGAATTGTGTTCAATTTGATTATTGATCTTCAAATTTTATTTAGATTCTATATGATATTCAAAATCTAATCGCTGGAATCTTTCTACGAATACAAAAAAGTCATAGCTTTTGACAGACTTTTGTTAAATATATTATAAAATTTATAGAAGTGCATAAAAAAAACCAACATTGTCATATATATGATGTAATTGTTACCAAAATTTGCACCCAGAAAATGTGTACCAGGTTGGATTCGGATGATGGTCCGGAAAATGTCTTCGAATTTTTACGTTTTTTTTTTTTCAATTATAGCGATAATATAAAGCAATATTTAATACAATTTACAACACATATCTAATGCATAGAATAATACAAATTAACTCAGATTTTGACATAATAGTTATTTCTTTTTAACCATTTGGTTTGTTTTCTGTGACGTTCTTCGATAATTTATGTACTCTTTTGCAATTGATCATTTCATTTCAAATTGATCAATATTTTCTTTCTGAATATTCGTTGGCTGTATGAAATTTGGCGAAATAGATAAGACGCTAACTTGTCTATCGATAGAGATTCGGTATCCTTCTTGAAATATTCAATGTCAGAAAGAAGTTGGCTATTATTATTAACATTACTAATGATAAGTTGAAAACTTTTCAATTGATATAATATGCTTATTAGATCTTCGTTGCTACATAGTTATTAAATAAATTCCGAATTGTTATTAATTAAAATTTAAAATATCAACCTAATTTTAATATCACTTTTTGCTTATTTTCACATTTGGCTATTATAGCTTCAACTTGTGACTCATAAGCGACAAAAGTATTTGGCGAAGTGACATAAGTAGATTTGATACATTCTATTATTTTGTTTAGCTAAATCCTAATTTGATGTTTTCTTGCATTTAATTAACGAAATAAAGCTTCTACCGTATTCCTCCGAACATAAAGAGCAATTTTTATAGCCAACATTCTCGTGATCTAATGATTGGATCTGTATAATTTTGGCACCATTCGAATCATTTTGGCAAGTCGATTCGAATGGTACCAAAATTATGCAGATCCAGCCACTAGATCACGAGAATTTTGGCTATAAAAATTGCTCCTTATTTTCGGAGGAATACGGTAATATAAAATACATGCTTATAACAAATTTTGCATCGCTTTTATTTTTTGCAAGATAAAAAAAAAAAACGAAAAACATTATGACATACGTACGTACGTAAATACGTAATTTTTGTTCTAGTTCTGAATGTTCATACCGTTCCGATCAAGCTTTCCTAACATTCGAATGTCTTGTCAAAAAACAACAGAGAAAAATTACTAATAAACATGAGGCCACAGCCTACAAAACGCTACTGTTTTATTACTAGTATATGCTTTGACTTTTATTTATATAACATTGAAAAAATATACAATGCATCAATTATATTGAATTGTAGTCTAAATTGTAGTAAATATGTAGTTAAATTGACGGTGTAAGGGCTAATACCCTATATATTGTTATTTTAATACTATATATATATTTATTTATTTATTACAGCGCAGCGTAATAAAAAAAATTTTTTTTTTGTAAATGAGTGTCTGAGTTTGTTTATTTATTAGTTAGCAAAAGAGGAGATTTAGTAATGAATGACTGTCTTTTTTCATGAAAGTTATTACGATTTTCAAAAAAGTCTTTGTGCATCTCTTCTAATTCATGTTTTTCATATTCGTCCAACGATTTTGCTGATTCATCACGCATACGAATATCTTGTTTATTTTCAATAAATTTCGTAAATTTTGTGGTGTCAGCTGTGGCAATGTTCATGAATTTTTTAACGCTATCTAAAAAACTTTGTTCAGGGTTAACCTGCCCCTGTTGTATCAAGTTATCAAATAGACCAATTTCAATTGCTTCAACAGCAATAATTGGCTTGGCATTCTCTTTAATTTGTTTTAATATAAATGTGTCTATGCGTTTAGTAGCTGTATAAGTGTGTAATTCTGAACCATATAACCCCATATTTTTGTAATGAGGATTTAAAACAACACCTGGTTTAACGAATGAAAAATCAGTCGCGAGAGCCAAGTAAACACCACCTGCGCCAGCGTTAGCTTGTACTGCCGATACTGTTATAATATTTGTAAGTTTAATAATTTCTTTAACCACTTCATTTATTGCTTTAATATTTTTCCACGCCTCTATGCTTGGATTAGCAGCATGTTGAATAACGTTCAGGTTAATACCATTCGACCAAATATTCTCACCACCTGCAAGGATTAATCCTTTAATAGGCATCTTTTGACATTGTTTAATGGCTTTTAAAAGCCTTTCACATTGTGAAGTACTCATAGCTCCATTATAAAAGTTAAAATGTAAAACTCCATAGGAACCGAATGATTCAAAACTTATCTCTTGGAAAGTATCAAGAGTCGGTGTTGTAAGAGTCTGATTAGGATTAATTATAGGGGTATTTTCGGATAGTTCACCTAATTGTATAGTAGCTGGTAACTTGAACGGATAAGGATCCGTTTGTGTCTTTGGAGAACGTAATTGAGAGACCCAAAATGCACCATCTTTGGTTGCAATACAAATAGCATCATCTTGTTTAGCAAGAACTTTTCCAGGATAAGCCATTAAATCTTTATTAATTGTTTTTTCATTGTGAGCATCATATAAAAATCTCGTGATTTTTTTATTATTAAGATCAATTTCAGCTTTAACACCGGGTTGACTATCAGCCGCACGTATTTTTCTTAAAATAATTTCAGTAGTATCCGTTTCCCAATTTATTTTCCTATTAGAATGTGATTGTTTAATAGTTTCATGAAGTCGACCTTTCACTGAAGCATTAGCATAATTTAATTGTTCAGGTTTAAAATTGTTCAATTGAAACTTTTCAATACACTCAAGTATCAATTTAGAAGCCTTATTAATAACATGAGAATTATATAAATGAGTTTTAGTAATAGCTTTTGGAACTAAAAAGTTTTCGCTTGCCCAAATAGCACCTGCATCCATTTCCTTATCAGCCTCAAGGATAGTAACACCCCACTCATCTTTTTTATCAATAATAGCCCAGTCTAACGAAGAAGGGCCTTTATCACCCTTAATTCCAGGATGAACAATAAGACACTTTACTTTCGTATAAATATCTTCAGGTATGGCTTTCATAAGTGTTGGGCAAATAATTAGATCAGGTTTATGTAGCGCAAAAGCAGAACGCATCGCGTCATCTGAATCTGCAGTTTGGAACGTTACTGTGTGTCCAAGGCGAAGTAATTCATTTTCTATTCGTTGAGTCATACCATTATAAGCAGAAGAAAATAATAAAAGGTTTAACTTTTTTATATTTTCATTTTTAAATATTTTATCAGAATGTTTTTGACTAGTCATATTAATTTTTTCAACCCTCTCAACCGAATAGTTTTGTCTTATTATCTGAGATAAATTCAAAGGTGGTAATTCTTGTTGTAAAATGCTCGCATTAACAGCATTAAAAGCTAAGGAAGCAACAGTAAGCAAACCAACTCCTTTTGGTACTGGTGTATAATATTCACATTTTTCATATACTGAAGGATGAACATCACCTACAATACTTGAATTTCCATTAACAAAGTTTGGTGGTAATCTGTTAATACCTACATCAATTACTATAGCACCTGGCTTAACTAAATCATCATTAACATGAAGTGCTTTACCAATGGCAACAATTAAAATGTCAGCACATTTAGTAATTTGTTTTATATTTTCAGTGTACATATCACAGGTTGTTACTGTAGCATTATATGGTGGAGCCATTAACATACATGAAAGTGGTTGTCCTACAAGTTGACCTTTTCCCATAATTACGATGTGTTTACCCTCAGTTGTAATATTATAATAATCAAAAATACTACAAATTCCAAGAGGAGTAGCAGGTTTTAGGCCTTTATCCAAATCAAACAAATTACTTATAGAACCTTTAGTTAATCCATCAATATCTTTATGAATAGGGATTGCGTTTAAAATATTATTTTTATTAACAGAAAAACCAGATGAGAAAGGTAATTGTACAATGATACCAGTATTACTAGGATCATTACTTAAACCTTTAATAAGTTCTTTAATTTGATTTTCATTATATTGAGGTGAAATTTTTATTAGTTGCATAGGAATATCAAGTTGTTCGAAAATTTTACGTTTTTTAGCCACGTAATTAGCGCTATCTACTCTTGCTTTTCCTGCCGCGTTTGTCGGTAAGATAACAGTAACTTTAGGTTGAATATTTAGAGTTTTCTTTGCTTTTATAGCTGTGCTCTTAATCGCATTAGCAACCGACAAACAGTCGAGTGCCTTTTTATTGTAATAATTATTGTTAATTGGTATCCTTTTCAACATTTTATGAAAGTAATGAATGTAATTTGTTTATTATTATTATTTTTTCGAGGCGTGAAAAGCATTTATTTATAATTTTTGACTACCTAATGGATGTTCCTCGTAAAAGAATTTCCTTTATTTTTGTAATTCAAAATAATTCAAAACAATTCAAAACAATGTATAACGATAACGATAACGATAATGCAAAAACCATTTACGTATACACAAACAAATATAAATATTTACATGTGGCTGTGTCAATCATTTCACTTAACCGACATCACACCAAGTGACAATTTATTAAAAATATACAGTATATATATTGTCACGGGCTAAAAGCGATCTTCGAAATTGGCGCAGCAAACCCGTGATTAAAGAGAAATAGAAAGCAAGAAATACTAGTTTATCGGTTGAGGCTTATCGGATGAATTAAACTAGTAAACAGGTTGGTAATTTAAGCTAAGGCTTAGACTAATAATAACTCCTCAGCCTTATAACCAACGCGAAATCCGAAGAACCTGAACGCGTAAGGAAGAAAGACCGAAATTCAAGAAATCTAAAGAGAAGAAATCAAGATTTAAGAATTAGTTAGAAGTAGTATAATATTAAATATTGTAAAGGCAAAGCCTTCATTATTATATTCATGTAGTACTTATCATTGTAAGCCCCTTACCTTAGATGTAGTCAAAGCTATAAAAGCATTGACATTTCACTCTTGTAAACTACACTTTATATCCTACGGGATTATAATATTATTACCCTATAACATTGAATAAATCACCTTGATAATATCGTTTAATAAATTGAATTTGTCAAATCACCATCGTCACGCCTCTGGCGAGTTGCCTTATCACCTTAAAACTTATATTTTCGTGTTTATCATATTAAAAGGATACGATTCACCCCGTAACAATATCAATACTGTGTCTATATAAATTATATTTTAAATTTATATGTTAAATTTTAATTGCACCTAAATCAGAGATCTCCCGGGTTAATGCATCTGGATACGTAGTAGCAGACAACCAAGTACGTAGTAGATCAAATTGCGGATATACGGTAATCGATCTAAATATTTTATTCAAGTTGATGGTAAGGTCAACAGATCGAAAAGGGAGCAAAGCAATGAAACCTGGCATGCTGACAATCACATGGGTGACTAGGATGCTAGCCAGTACAATTAGCGTCTAAATCAATATGGCGCAAAGGAGGAAGATAAGTACTGTATTTACCCAACATACAGGTTTTGTATACCAATTTCGGACATTATAGCAATCATTGTAGCAATCAAATTCGGACATTACAGCAATCAAATTCGAACATAGCAGCAATCAAATTCGGACATAGTAGCAATCAAATTTGGACATTTTAGCAATCAAATTCGGACAGCAATATCTCGTGATCTAGTGGTCCAAACCACACGATGTTGGTATCATTCAACTAGTCTTGTTAAGACGAGTCGAATGGTACCAACATCGTGTGATTTGGACCACTAGATCACGAGATACCGCTGTTCGAATTTGATTGCCAAGATGTCCGAATTTGATTGCTAGAATATCTGAATTTGATTGCTACTATGTTCGAATTTGATTGCTACTATGTCCGAATTTGATTGTTACTATGTCCGAATTTGATTGCTATAATGTCTGAATTTGATTGCTATAATCTGTATGTACCTGGTATTTCCCTAATTCGTTTTGGTACCCTGGATACATGTGTGGGGATATATTGAATGGATATGATTTTATTATGTTTTCCCGGGTACAGTATAAGTCAAAATTTGGCTGTAAAAATCGTTGGGTAAATACGGTAGAATTAATCAATTGCCTATTCAGGATATCATATGTAAAGCTAATTTTAACCAGTTTTTACAGATATAAGACTAAACGGTGATAAGGTGGGTGGCTGATAGCAGCTCTGGAAGGGTGAACTAAATTCACACCCGATCTACTTGGCCTACAAATTTTGCCATTTTGCAAACCCTTCATGTTATACAGGCGGGAAATAATGGTTAATCTTAAGTATCAATCTTGATTGCAAACCTCTTTGTTTATAGCCAGCCCAATTTTAGAAAAAACAACACTACAAATAGCTAGCTTAATTATACATTAAATGCTGTATATCATGTAGTGTATGACGATCACTATAAAAAAATGTCTTTTTTATTATTGCCATTTGGAACTGCACTAACTAAATATGTCATGAAATCGGTTCACACAACTCCTCGTCACATCATAGCATCTATGCTTACGTACGTACAGGAAATTTAAAAACCTTATTTCTATGTAGCATACCGAAATCTCAATATCTTCGCACAAAAACAATAAGCAAAGAACAATATGTATGTAATAGCATGCTATTGAAATGACAACTTTAGTTTATCTCCAATGAGTTAGTTAAACTTTATTCTATATAAAGTGATTGAGGTTTTTAGATTTACTATACCGTACGTACGAAAGAACATTACGTAGGTAGTACAACAGCGATTGAAGAGATTCTAATAGTGCATCTAGTAGGGTTGGGGGCACAGGATATTTTTTGGGCATGCCTGAAGGGGCATGCCTCAGCCCGAGGCATGCCCTTCATAGTGTGCCCAGGGCATGCCCCCTATATAAAATCGCCACTCAAAAAAATTTTGAAAATCATATGGTATTGTTAATTCATCATGATTAGGATCATGATAATATATTTAATAAAGTATTAATTGATTTAGAAATGATTTTGTTTTCTTCAATTCTTCAAAAT